ATGATACTGGGTGGCTTTTTAAGGCAAACACTCCTTGAAATGTCTGATGATACTAAAGGCGCAAACTTGATATTTTTGGCCGAAGAAAAATGGATGTAACAACAACACAAGAAAGTCCATTTTTTTCTTATCTTAAGTAACAAAGATTTTCTGCTGATGCTAAAGGACTTGGATTATTGAAGCACGTTTTTGTAAATAACACCCTTTTCTTTAGTAACATAAAAAAGATTTTTAAATATTGAAACGGTGATGAATAAAAAGCGTTAGCCTTTATTACAGTTTTTTACAGCCGCTAGGACACATTTCCCAGTACTTAGGTCACTTTTGCAAAACACTTCACACAATCCTGCTAACTGACCGTCAGCTTGGCAAAGCAGTTCATTTCACATTCAAAATGCACTACAACTACCAAAACACTTCATTCAGGTCTCAAATAAACTCATTCTTCCAGAACACTAGCAAAGGTTGACAGCCGACAAACACACTTTGTCACCCACAAAACAATGACCTAAAAAACACTAACAACATGTAGCATTACACAGTGTTTTCTTGTGTAAAACAAGGACACATCTCTGTTTATAATTTCAATATATGTTACTGGAATGAATCAGACATCATGCAGAATTCGTTAATATTTGTTTATGTATTTTTATTTTTTTGCACTAAGTAATCCCAAAATACAAGAATTTGTATACACACCATCCACTGATACACATACAATAGTAATGCTAATCTACTCGGTCTTCTCCATTTGGCCACAGGTTCTCATCCACATCACATCTTATGTCATCTAGGGCAAACACCTAGGAAAGAATCTTCTGGCTGCCAGAATTGAAGGAGTTGAAAAATTGAAGGAGTAACACCTGTGTAGATGTTCATCTACAATGAGAATAAGCTGTGGCTGGTTAAACTGCATTTTTAGATTTAAAATATGTTTCAATAAAATATTGCTGTTGGATTTTGCTGTCTTTTTAAGTTTTGCATTGTGTTATTGTTTTGGCCATAAGTTTAACAGTTTTGAAAACAGTATGTAAGCACATGCAAAATGTCCTGTACGTACAAAGATTTTTGGCAGTTGTTGTGTCTGAGTGAGAAGATAATTCATGAAATTTGAGAGATGTAGTCATTGAATGCATTTTGTGCCAAAACAATGATAACTGGTCCTCAGTTTAGCCCACATAGACTTCTGTTGTGCTCACTGTGTGAGGAGTTTTGCAAACGTGACCTAAGTATTGAGAAATGTGTCCTAGCGTCTGTAAAAAACTGTAATGTTATAGATCGATGTATAGTCAATAATGTTTAGTTGTTTGTTTTAAAATCCAGCAAACAAACAAAACAACTGCGTTTTGTACAAATATTTGATCCCACTAGATACCAAATCTTGTATTTTATTACATTATAATTCCATCCTTTAGTTTTACAGGGCTCGAAGAATACTGTGCTAGCATCAATTATATCTAAGCACATCTTTCAAAATAAGCGACTGTTAAAAATTAAGTTTAGGGGAAAATATTATATTCAGTCTTCATTTGTCTAAATATTTGTCACTAAAATTATGTTTTTCGTATATAAAATTACTCAGTAACACACACACACTGGTATATATATATATATATATATATATATAACTAAGTAAGGAAGCACTGGTGAAAACAGTCGATTAATTTTAATTTTATTTTAAAAACGTGATCATTTAAAATAAAAATCTGCCTTCTGCTACAACGAAATTTGTTGGAGCACCTTACCACATGAATGTTTCATATGAAATGTCTCGGTCTATCTTTATACATTTATGGTAACAACGACTTATAAGGTAAAACAGAACTTTCAGACACTAAATAACACAAAAACAAACAGGAGTATAATGCAGTACTGCTCGCGGACAATTCTTCCTACCGTGGATCAGTTTTCCCATTAAGCAGAATACCTGCTGAGTCATTAAAAAAATAAATCTTACTGTTTAATCTATTAGTAGCATTAAAATATGGGGGGAGGGGGGGATATAAATTAACCTCTTCCGCTAAATATTGAGAGGACAAATCAAAATATTGCGGAGGGGATTGCCTACTTTCGCTCTGAAGTGATAATAAGAACAATAATAACAGAAACAAAAAGCTAGTATAGCTCTTGGATTTTGATTTATGGGCTCAGACTTTTTCAAACATAAAAATGTATACATACATAATTGCACATGGAATAGATATTACTAACACGAATCCACAGAAGTCACAAGTGCTGCTGTTTCATTCATTGCATCAACAACCATCTCGTGCCTTTCTGCCACAAATCAAATGAGGCAATAACCCGAAGGAGTCTAGGATTCTTGAATTGTAACAGAAGAGTTCTGTGTTGAAAATGGTCCTATACTGTAAATTCTGATACATTTTTCTTATCTCTTAAAATCTATGGTCACACATCAGTCCTCCTCATCGACCGCCTCCTCTTCTTCTCGACTCACTGCTGTGGGGGCGCCACTCTTCGTCACAATGTTCTCCTTTTTCCACTTCATCCTCCGATTTTGGAACCAGATCTTGATCTGTCTCTCTGTGAGGCCGAGCGCGTGCGCGACCTCTATCCGCCGTTTACGCGTTAGGTACCGGTTGAAGTGGAACTCCTTCTCCAGCTCGAGGGTTTGATGCCGCGTGTACGTCTGTCGGCCTCTTCGTCTGTCAGAGCCTGGACAGAAGAAAACACATTCTCTTTCAAAACAAAATCTTCCTACTCGAAAGATTAGGAAATATGATGTAGGTTAAAAAACGCTTGTTGACTCGTCGGTTAGTTTTCGAATCCACTTTCTGGCAAACCCGAAAAACTTCTAAATGATGGGGAAACGCGTAGTTTCAGCTTCTGCCTGTCTGAGATATACTTCTATCCTTTTCACCTACAAAAATAATGAAAGAATTTAGAAAAACGGGCATAATCAGTCTGACTGTGATTACTGATGTGTAATTTTTAACTAATTAATACAGTCAGTGTAAACGGACACGTGCACATGGCAATGTTGGTAGAGAACTTTTAATTCAATTTAAAACTAAAGAAAAAAGCCTCTTCTTGTGAAAAATGCATGAATCCGTGAAACTGCATTGACCTCCTGTGTTTATGAGGTCACACATCGCCTGAAGGTTAAAAAAAAATAGGTCACATTTTTAAATCTCAAAGGTCATTTGCCGGCCACAAAAACGTTCAAGCGCATTTCCTCTGCACGTCGCAGTAAAAGAAAGCTTCTTGTACTGCACCCATGGCATTTAGAGATCAGTGGAAATCTATTGTGTACTGGACGATTTTCAATTGGGATCACAGTGAACGAAATTTTTAGGTGTACCCAGTGAAAATCTAGGTATAGCAACCGAGAAGGTATTTTACATGGTTCCTGTAAAATATTTACACATGATGGACGGATCACAATCTGTATCAACATCATTGTCTATAAAGACATCATTAATGGGGCAAATATATATTTATCATTAGGAATGACCAGTGTTGGGTAAGTTACTTTAAATTAGTAACTTAGTTTCATTACTAGTTACTTCTATCAAAAGTAACTCAGTTACTTCAGGTTACTCGTTACTTTCAGAGTAACTAATTACTAGGGAAAGTAACTTTGGTTTTACTCAGAATTCTCTTGTTTATGTGTTGCTTCCGTAACTGGATACCCAGCAAGATTGCCAATCTTCTAGCTTGCTTACTTGCTACAAGTGTACTGTGCCACCTACCAATATAAAGAAAAAAATAATGTGCACATTTCCACGAGGGAAATCCCACACCTGATTCTATCCTGGCCTGCTTTTTACATCCAACACAAAAACTGCAGTCGTGGTGCTTTCAATTGTACTCAGAACTCGGAAATTCTGCCTTCTGATTAGGAAGATGTAGGTAACACCAGACTGAAGATGAGCTGCATACAGGGCTGGACTGGGACAAAAAAATCATCCCGGGCATTTTGACTAGAGACCGGCCGCCATTATAGGAAAAATCATAAAGCCTTTGAATGAAAATAAACACTGTTGTGACAGTGATGTACACTGTTCTGATGGTATATATGTATCAATCTATCAATTGTTTGTTGCAAGACTAAGATAATTATTTTTTTAAAAGTGAGACATTTTAAATGAGAATAAGAAAGTATTTCTTTGTGCCCACATTTCCCTTTTAATGCCCTACATTGACCCCTGGCAACACTTTGCTAGA